TATGATAAACAATTTGTAATTTTACGATGCTTTTTAAGTAAGTGATTTAAAATAAATAAGTCCTTTTCTCTAGAATTAAAGAAATGATTAAAAATTACTTCTTGGAATAATACAGAATTGAGTTCAACTATGGCCAGGTTGACCTCAGCTTGCCAGAGAAGATGCTGTCAGAAAGATTAAGTACCTAAGAGTTCTAATTTCTTTAAGATTTTCTCTTTCCCCTTCACTCAGTGCTTATGAAATCCCAATGCTAGTAACATCAGAGCATTAACGATGTTGCAAGTAGCTTAAGGCAGGGCTTCTCAAACTTGAATGTGCACATAAATCACATGGGAGCTTGTTAAAATGCAGATTCTGATTCAGTAGGTCTGGGCTGGAGCCTAAGACACTGCATTTCTGAAAAGGTCCCAGGTGATGCATCAGCCAGGTACAACATACATGCTGCTGGTTCCAGTCAACACTTAGCAAGGGCTGAAACTGCAGTGGTTCTCAAAATGTGGTACCTGGATAAGCAGCATCAGCATCACCTGGCAACATGGGAGAAACGCAGGTCCTCCATCCTCACCCCAGACCTCCTGAACCAGGAACTGGTGATGGAGCCCAGCTGTCTGTTGTTAATAAGCCTTCCAGGTGATTCTGATGCACACTGATATTTGAGAACCTCTGGCTTAGAGAAAGAGGGAATAACTGACTGCAGCTAGTGAAAACCAGGTCCATTTCAACAGGCCCGCAGAAAGCCATGGAAACTTCCAGAAGAAGCCCAGTTATAGAGGACTATTTTAAACCAGAATGCGTTTAAGTCTTCCAAGAGACATCATCAGCTCTAATTTTTTTAAAAGAAAGAAAATACCATGTGAAATACACAAACATAAAATCTTTCTTGTTGACAAGGTACAATATACATATATACCACCAGCATAATCACGGGCTCCATTTTCACTTATTTATAATAAACATGTCACAACCATATTTTTTAAAACCCTCTTCCCTTTCCAAATTCTATGTTTAAATTAGAACACACGAAACTACATCTATTCTTAAACTTTACAAACCTTAAATAATGTGTGAGCACATTATGAAACGATCAGGAAAACACGACACAGCCCCTGATTTAGAGTGGCAAAACAAAAATCTATCCCTTGGGCCAACAACATAATCAGAGGATCTTATTTAGATCAATGTTGGCAAGTTGATTTTACCCCAACATTTCCACTGATAACCCAATGAGGATGAGGTCAACCAGATAATTTTGAATAATTGTGCGATTTACCTAGAGATTTTTTAAAAATCACCATGGTAGGCACCAGATAAAAGAGAACTAGCTGTACATGTAGGTAAGAAAGACTCAAAAGATAAATTAGATTGAATCACAGAGAAAGGCAGTAGGCTGACATACCAGAATTCAATAAAAACAGGAAAAAATTAATGGAGAAGGAAACTAAATTTGGGGGACTTCCCTGGTGGCACAGTGGCTAAGAATCCACTTGCCAATGGAGGGGACACGGGTTCGATCTCTGGTCTGGGAAGATCCCACATGCCAGGGAGCAACTAAGCCCTTGTGCCAAAACAACCCACAAGCCATAACTACTGAGCCCGTGAGCCACAACTACTGAAGCCCGTGTGTTCTAGGGTCCGTGCTCTGCAGTGAAGAGTAGCCCCCGCTCACCACAACTAAGAAAACCTGCGCACAGCAACGAAGACCCAACACAGCCCAAAAAAAAAAGAAACTAAATTTTTATACTCAGGCTCTCCTCAAGGTCATGTAGAGAATGGAAAGCATATAAAAATTAGTACCTACGAAAAGAGCAGTTGAGAACATAGACATTGATCATACCAAGTTGCTTGGGGCCACATGAACTCAAAGTCAAAAGATTATTATTGTGGCTGTACTTCATGCATCACCTGCACAGAGGGCAGCTACACACCAGTCTTCTCCATCCATGTCTTATTCTCTCCCAGCTGCCCTAAGAAAAGCATTCACACCAGCAGATGTACTGGACTGATGTGCCTCTCAAAGTGTGAGCCGGGGGTCAGAACCATCAACATCACCTGGAAATGCCGACTCCCTTGGGCCCCTCCCTGGACCTGTTGATTCAGAATCTGCATTTTAACAACATCTCTAGATTTGTGAGCACATCCCACTTGAGGAGAGATGCTCAAGCCTGCTTTCAGTCTCTTGGACCCCCTGTGACTTCCTGACTTTTTTCTGGTTGGTGTTGAGGTGAAGACACCCCTTCTCAATCACCCCAAACTCAAATATTTGCTCAGGAGGCAGTTCCTTGTAAAGAAATAAATGTTCTTTATCAAACTGGAGTAAAAGCGATAGTATGACTCCTGTTCTACAGATTGAGAAAAATAGAGAATTATTGAAGGTCAGTGCTTAGCATTAGCAAAGTACTAACTAAAAACCATGTTTCTTCTTACTTATGTTATACCATACTGTCTGGTATTTCCTAGAAATCCCAAAAAGAAAAGGAAAAAGCTCCACTTAAGTTAGGGAATGTAGTTCTGACCACAGGACCTATAATCAAGGAGGTACTCTATTACTTTTCTTTCCTTCTTTCTTGTTTTTTTTCTCCCCCCAGCAGTAAATTAGGGTCAAGTCTCAATGCCTGCTGATACCTTGATCAATATCACTTCACAGCATCTTCCCACTACTTGGAAGTTTGCCTGCATCTGGATGTGGTTGTTTACTTTTTTCTTTTTCCTACTTTGGAGTTCAGAGAGAATATACTTATACTTTCTCTGTGATGGAAAGAAACCCCAGGATTCATTTTTCAAAGGAACACTGGAATTTTACTTTTTAGCCCTCAAAGAGAGGAATCTATTAAACTAAAGACTTAATCAAGTGCTCTCTGGGTTGGCTTTGAAGGTCTCTGCTCCCCACTCAGGATGGAGGCTTCCAAACCAAAGTCCCTACAAGCAAACTGCCCTAGCTGCAAAAAACACGGGAAGAGAAGGAAATCAGTCATCTTCTAGGCCGATGGTTTCTCAATCTTTGCTGAACGTCAAAGTCCTCTGGGTAGGTTTTAAAAATCCCCATGGCCAGGCCACACCCCAGACCAATTAGGTCAGAACCTCTGGGCACAGAACCAGGCATCTTTTTTTTTCAAACTCCCCAGGTGATTCCAATGCACATGCAAGTCTGAGAACCAATGAGCCTGGCAGTGACACCCACAAAACCTCACGCTGACGCCATGAGGTCAGTTCTATCCGTGGCTCCACACCTCCTATATTTTCTCCATTCTTCCTACGAGCCAGGCAGCAGAATCTTGGGGGATGTACTTTCACTCACGTTCCAGAACGTGCTCTTCTGAAACAGCTGCTTCAATGGGGGTATATTTCTTTGCAATGCTCTTCCATGTAATAAAGAAATTCTTTCTCATTCCCTTAATATTGCTCTGCATTAAAGCATAACCTACAAACAGATGAATTATACTTATGCAGTGAGTATAAAGGACAGCTGTTTTATCTCAATGGAGCATTTTCTCTTTGTGATTCCATTATTTTACTCTGGCATGACATGCCTAATGTTTTAAGTAAGGCTCAGCTTTTCTTTCTTTCTTTCCTTTTTTTTTTTTTTTTTTTTTTTTTTCTGGAGGTGAAATTTCAGCTGGAAATCTACTCTAAAAGATCTTCAAGAAACAGTCCGAGTAAGAACACAGCCGTATTTATTTTTTATGAGTAGCTGAAGGCTGATCAAAACGTTCCTCCCAAGCCACAAAATGTGTAACCCTGGCATTTTTCAGGGCTATTTTTTGGCACACTGGACACAGGTCGAGACAGCATTTTATTTTAATTCTTCCTCTTGAACCTCCTGAATCTTCAAGCAGCAATTCTTAAAGAAACTCATTTTTTTTTTTTTTTTCCTTTTTTTTTTTTTTTTTTTTTTTTTTACTGGAGGTGAAATTTCAGCTGGAAATCTACTCTAAAAGATCTTCAAGAAACAGTCCGAGTAAGAACACAGCCGTATTTATTTTTTATGAGTAGCTGAAGGCTGATCAAAACGTTCCTCCCAAGCCACAAAATGTGTAACCCTGGCATTTTTCAGGGCTATTTTTTGGCACACTGGACACAGGTCGAGACAGCATTTTATTTTAATTCTTCCTCTTGAACCTCCTGAATCTTCAAGCAGCAATTCTTAAAGAAACTCATTCATGGTTAGCAGATAATGCAGCCTTTTTTCGCCCTGCAGTGACCTAGTACAGAGAAAATATAGTGAATACACTTCTTTTCTTTTTTTACCAAAGAGGTGCCGTTAACTTGTCCTTGAATTGCGACTGCCTGTGTGTGAACTTCTAGAATATTTTCCAAATTGTCATTTCAACAAGCAGAGCTTGCTGAGTTTGCCAAACCTACTTCCTTACCTTTGTCTGTTCTGTTCTTTGGCAACTCCTTTTGACAGGCTACCCCATTCAAGGTCTTTCCCCTGCTCTAATCCATCTCATTACATTCTCTTCAATTTTACTTTTACCTATTCATAATATGGATCTTCAAAGGAACTCCCCAAAAGGAGGGTGTCAGAATCACGATCAATTTTCTGTTAACATCGGAAGGAAGATTTATGTATATGCCCATAGAAACATACTTTCTTTGTAACTCACATACTTTCTTTGTAACTCCCAGTTAGTACAAAAGAATTGAAGTCACATATTCTACTCCGTAAACTTGGTTCTATAAATGACTACATTATTAAAGACAAAAATTAAACAGTTGCAAATAATGGCACATTTGTTTGGTGCTGATTTTGAGTCTTTCCAATACATCAACACTCTTTGCTAAAAGGTCCCAGGAGGCAAAATACAGCGACCAGCCAAAATGTTTCAGGTGAGAAATGAAGGGCAAGAAAGACATGCCAGCATCTTAACAGCATCGATGGTGGGCTAAGGGCACAGAGGCTCCAAATCTGGCAGACCTGGGTTCAAATCCTGGCCGTGTCTCCCTGGGCCGGATAGTCAGCCTATGACCATCCCCATCTCTAAAATGCAAATAATGGGAATTCCCTGGTGGTCCAGTGGTTAGGACTCCGCACTTCTACTTCCGAGGGTGCAGGTTCAATCCCTGTTTGGGGAACTAAGATCCCACAAGCCACACTGCACGGCCAAAAAATAAATAAAATAAAATGCAAATAACAGCAATAATGACCTTCACAGGGTTGCTGTGAGGATTAAAGGGCTTAGAAAGTAGTGAGTACAGGTCAGCTATTCCTACTGCATTTTAAGGAAATGCAACCCAAACAAACCCATGAGGCAAGAGGAGTGGGTATTATCTATATGCATCTTACTGCTGAGAAAAGTAAGGTTCCCAGAGATGAAATAAACTCATCCTCCTCACATATCTTTCTAAAACACAAAAATGACTATGCTGTTCCCTGTTAAAAACTCTTCAGTGGCTCTCATGACCAGGAAATTAGAAAGAGGCATAAAGTCCAAACTCCCTATCATGGCATAATCCCTGGATAAGGTTTTTTTTTTTTTTTTTTCCAAAACTCAACCCCAAATCACTTCTGCCACGAAGCATTTCTGCAGCACCACAGAGAGTGTTGCCCCTCCCTCCTTTGGGCTCCCACCCTACCTGGACACACTTTTAGCAAAGCACCCGTGGCATTTTTCTGAGCATGTTGGTTTATGCATCTGAATCTATACACTAAACAGGAAGTTCCTTAAGAACAAGAACACTGTCCTATTCATCTCTGTAGCCTTAGCATCTAGCCTAGCACCGAACACCTGGTAGATAGCCCACAAAATGCCTGATGAGTGAATGAATGGTCCAAAGCCATCCAACAAATAAGTGGCAGGGCCAGAGCAGAGCCCACATCTTCCAACTTCCTGTTGGGCCATCGTTCCCTGAAACCACACTGCCTTTGTCAATGTGTGGGTGACATCTCAGAAAAGACCCTGAGGCTCAACCTCCATATTCAGAATGGACTTGCCATGTAACCTTAGGCCATGCATTAAAAAACAAACAAAAATAACCACAAATCTGCATGCATAGATTTGTATCTGTAAAAGAGGGCTCATACTTAACACTGGACTTTAGAATACACAGGAGGTGGGGGAAGAAGAGAAAAACCAATTAGATAACACGATGTGCTCCTCTTGAAAAGTGCCTTAATTTAAAACTATCACAATAGTAAATATAATTAGATAAAAACAATAATACCAAATACCACAGTTTACTACAATCCTTTCTTCTGAGGCTTTCAATTGGAACTGAAAACACAATTACTAATTAAATTGGACAAGGGGAGGTATCGTTTTCCAAATGGAACCCTAGTGATACAAATGAGTTACTGCAGCTTCTCGAATTTCTCACTGTCACTCAAAGAGGGGGTTCTTCACTGGGCTAGAGTCAACTCAGAAAAGCAGATCCATATCCTGCATTTTTATTCTTTTATTCGAAATACAGTTTATTTCTATATTTCCTATGTAGTTACTGAGCCACTGTAAGACCACAAAGATGCTACAGCCCAGTTCCTCCCCTCAAGGAGCTTAATGTACACTGGTGGGTGAAGTGCACAGATGGTGAAAAAACCTAGTCGAGACCTGGGCCGAAAACAAAAGTCTCAAGGCAGGAGATAGAGACCAGGGGACTCACATTTCCTGTCTTGGAGGAATCTGGGTAAAAAATAAAAACAGTTTTAAGGTGGAACAGGGTGAAACAGGAGGCTGTGATCCTTAGAGGGCCTGAGAACATTCTGTTTTCTCTTCTTTTCCTTTTTTAAAAATTGAATTCTATAGTGGAATGCCCCAAGCTCTTTCCTTGCCTGTTACTTGAAGACTTTTCCAAATTACGCTTTTAAAGGCATTAGGAGAAAAAATAAAGGTTCTGTAGTCCAATGGAAATTTGGGGAAATTAAATTAAAATTTTAAATTTTAGAATAAAAATACTTTTTTGCTGAAAGACGGCTCAGACCTCTTAATATGCAAAAGTGAATTCAGAATCGCCTAGAAGGGGATTTAATATGCAGTTTTGACCATATTAATTTAACGCAAGACTCTTTTTTTTTTTTTTTTTTTTGGTCTGTTTGTTTTTTAGAAACATCTAACATCTTGCTGGCTAGTGTTCTGTTAAAACACATAGAAAATACTGGTCTAGTAAAAATGACAAATAAATCACCTTCCCTTCTTGTAATTTTACAGACTTTGTCACAGGTCTAAAGAAAAAAGTGAGTGCCTATAATGGACAAATAAAGGGGGAGTTATAGCTAGCACCTGCAGCAGTAGAGGGACTTTAAAATTATGTAAGTCCAACTTCGGATCATGCTTACCACTTATACTATGAGACCTTGGTTTAAAAACTGCTCAAACTTTCTTGGCCTCAGTTTCCACATCAGTCAGATGGGAATAATGGCATTACCTGCCCCTAAGGGTGAGTGGGAATATTTGTGTAGTCAAATAATCCAGCAGAGCACTTAGCACAGAGCAAGCTCTCAATGTTCAGAAACTATCGCATGAGACACTCCAGGGTGACAGGGAGGCCCATTAGGGTCAGTCTGCTGTAGCTGTGTCTTCTTAGGCTAAAACGAAGATGCTTTCAACTGGAACACAAGTGAAAGACTCGACATCGGCCACATGGGAAAAGAGCAAGAAAGATGCCAAAATGGAAGAGAAGTCTGAAGGAAAATCCTCTCCAGCCAAATTTTCAAGGAAATGAATTATATGAAATTACAAAAACAGTGCTCTAGGGGCTGCTTCTACTTTTCTCTGACATCTGATACGCAAATATAACAAAGTATCAGGAGAACAAAGAAAATGCACAGAACAGCATTGATAAACGCTTTTAGTCACTTTCTCAGTCAGAGCCTTCGAATTGGTGTTAGCAGCATGGCCGGGGAAGGAAACACAAGATCCATGCGTGGTAAATTTACAGCAGATTTTGAGATCCGGGACATTTCTGAGGAAATATATGGAGATAGTGGCAAGGCCAGCAACAAATGACCACGTGATTCATGGAAAGATCCAGACTTTGAAACAGATCCTTCACTTGGCCAAGTCCATTAGTTTTCACCACTGCCCTCTAGTAGACCTGTTGAATACAGACCTACAACAAAAGCAAATCCTCACACTAGAGTTTCATAGTACTCGTTAAAAAAAAAAAAAAAGCCTGCATGTAAAGTTGCCTGGAGCACTAAAGCAACCAGTTAGAAAGAAAAAGAATGAGCTATATGACTTAAAAATCCAATTTGCTAGGATACAATGTTCCAAGACTGCTGATAACGGGAGTTTGTATGGAATATTCCTTGATAGAAGTGTGCCAGATTAGGTCTTAGAAACATTTTTGTTGTGCAGAGACTTTCAGTAGTAAGTGGGAAATACCTAATGAGTATTTGCAACATGAAGGAATGGAATGAACTGATGAACAAACAAAAGAACAAAGTGGCTGAATCCCAGCATTCATGAATTGGAAGAGTTCTAAGATCCCCACCAATTTCGGTTTTGGTTTGTACACTGTCTTGGGAAGCTCACAATCTCACCTCCCCACTGGAACAACATAATGGGTGACAATGAACCCTTCCAAAGGTTTCAGTTTATCCAACATATTTTTTTTCCAACATATTTTCTGTTAGTGGTATGAATGCAGGTGTTCCCAAGGAGTTAAGTACTTTAACAGATAATACTTCTGTTATCTAATTGCCACCAACATTCCTCTGTTCCCCTTATATCTTAGCTAAGTACTTATCACGACCTGTAATTTTCTTACTGTTTCACGGCTGACTGTGGGCATCTCCCACTTCTAAATGTAACTTCATGAAGGTAAAGACCTCGCCTGCCCCCAGCACCTAGCCCAGTACCTGCACATAGGCAGAAGGTGTGCATTAAAGATCTGTGGTTATATAGATGGAATCAGCGCTGTGGAAGTAGGAGCTTTTCCTCTCTCATTTCCCTTCAGAAGCATCGTTTGGGTGGTCCTGTCATTAAGAGTCAACTGGCTGGCCACTCTCAACATAGCTGTGTATCCTTGAGCAAACTTTTTCACCTCTCTGGTTTCCTTCTTTGTAAAGGAGCATTTGGGGGTGCTTGAACTACTCTCTCAAAGATCCCTTGCATCAGTAACATTCTAAGATTATTTGGGAAAATAAACCCAAAACACCTGCATTTTCATAATTAATAAAGTTTACAATGATCAGAACAAATAAACAAGTGAATTTCAAGATTGTTCTATAGAGTTAGTCACGGTTTTCTTCAAGTTAGCTCATTTCTCTGCCAGATCACACTCTGTATTTACCTTTCAGCGTTTGGCCCTTAGAAAGGGCAAAATTGATGAGGTGGCTAAGGTCCACTTTCTAAAAAAAGAGCAACCCCCTTCCCCCCTGTTCAGATAATTTCTGCAGCCTGTTTGCAAGATTTCTAATATGAGGTGCAACTGTCATTTAATTAAGTGGTTCTTGGAGACTTTGATTTTTCCTGCCACCAACGGGTTAATGCGCTGAGATCTTCCTTTGTTTTACAAAGGGGCAAGAAAACACATTGAGCTGATACAGTCCATTATTAAAATTGCATTTCAGCAGAGGCAAATAACTCCAGCCACCTGACGCTGGGCTTAGCCATCATCTTCTCTTGCTACAACCCAAAGCTATTACATTAAAAGCATAAGCAAAACAATAGAGCTGACAGCGATGCAAGCTCCCCTGGTAGACAGAAACCATCAATCCTGTTGGTGAAGTATTTAGCTACAGAAGGAGAAAAGACATTCTTTGACTGAAGGATAAGAGGAAGGAATACACAGCCACTTTTCAATCAGAGCTAGATCGTGTATACTTGAAGAAATAACAGCTTCGACAGCCAGACGATAAGTTTGCCGCTACAAAGTGGGAGCCAGCAAGTACACCTGTGAAGGCTACGAAAAGTCTGGGGTTGAATGAAGCGGCTCTTACCCACTCCACCTTCACCTTGGATGCTCACAGCCCCCACCCATTCCCTGCGTGGTAGTTTCCACAGAAATTAAACAAAGAGCTTTTTCAGGGGCCAAGCAGGCAGAAAACAAACTTCTTTAGCTTGGGCAGTGTTAAGCCATCTTAATAAGCTCTAAATCTTTACTTGGAAGTCAATGAAATTAGCAGCAGAGTTTAG